GGCAGTATACTTTATACTTGATGTGCAGTATACTTTATACTTGATGCGTAGTATACGTTATACTTGATGGCAGTATACTTTATACTTGATGTGCAGTATACTTCATACTTGATGCGTAGTATACGTTATACTTGATGGCAGTATACTTTATACTTGATGTGCAGTATACTTTATACTTGATGCGTAGTATACGTTATACTTGATGGCAGTATACTTTATACTTGATGTGCAGTATACTTTATACTTCATGCGCAGTATACTTTATACTTGATGGGCAGTATACTTTACACTTGATGTGCAGTATACTTTATACTTGATGCGTAGTATACGTTATACTTGATGGGCAGTATACTTTATACTTGATGTGCAGTATACTTTATACTTCATGCGCAGTTTACTTTATACTTGATGGGCAGTATACTTTACACTTGATGTGTAGTATACTTTATACTTGATGTGTAGTATACTTTATACTTGATGAACAGTATACTTTATACATGATGGGCAGTATAATTTATACTTGATGGTCAGTATACTTTATGCCTCACGTACGGTGCTCGTGTATCCAGGTTTTGAAGAAATCAATAACGAACTTTAGAATGCGGTCATGTTGGTAATTTTGGCGTTAGGAGCCTGGTAGCGTGGATACCGCCGATGCATTTCATTTGTTTATCAAACTACGCCTATTTGAAACTCTGGTATTCATTTTTAGGAAGGGTACATTACAATGGGGTTGAAATGTAAAAATTTTCGCGGTTGCACTACCACAAACATATTATCGGTGTACTTCATACGAGTACAATATCGCGATATCACCGAAATTTGTATGTTAACATTTTTAAAGACAATAATGCCCCGATAAATTAAGTCAATTTTTGCTTTACAATATAATTTCAATGTCTCACATTTTCCATTTAGAATTGACTTGCTAATCTGCTGGTCCATATGATATTTCAAACTATGTGTATAGGTGTGAGTCAGATTTGATATTTTCTTGGCACCTTAGAAACAATCAACGCTCTTCATCATCACTCTGATGGGTAAGTAACGTTTTGATCCATAAATAGCTGCGCTTATGTACCGCGATGCGCTGGATTTTTGGGCAGTGAACATAAGAATGCGTTGTTGTTATTGAGCAACTTGCAGGAAATGCGTACTCCAATGTAGTAGCATGTTCAAATAAAATTGTTGATGAAACCGTCTAATCATTACGGTTGTAGCATTATCTTTGCTCATTTGATGAAATTAATATTTGCAATACTTCAGTTAAATCTTTCAAAGTTACTCAACTTCCATGTCCTCTCCGATGGCTGAACGGTAGAGGCTCTGCTTCGCGTGAGGGAGATCGGAGTTCGAATCCTGCAGGCAGGGACTTTCTTAAGGTCGATTTCTCATGAGGTATGTCTATTTACTCTGATAATTTGTTCCTGCTACATGTCTGACATTGTTACTTGTGCTGTCATGGTAGATTTGCATAAGTAGCACTTAGAATGGTGATTGGGTGAAGCAATATTAGTAAATGCAGAATCATCGGATTTGAGGCTAAAGGAAAATTTTTTATTGAATTCATTTATTTATTTTAAAGGTGGCCACTGGTAGCTCATTGATGCGTCACCGGTGCCAGTGGGTGGTTATTGGTGTACGAAGAGCTTCACGGGTATGGTGGTCATTGGCAGGTTAATATAGCCTATAGGTATGGGATTGGTGGTGCACGCCGCCCTTAATTCACTGTATAAATCATAGTTGCTCCACCTATGGCGTCCGCCGATAGCCACCATAAAACATAGGTGCTCCACTCTTAATTTTTATTTGGGTACGACGTCTCTCTAACATTTCTGTCTCCAAATGCATGTTCGTGAAACTTACTTCAAGTTACAGACAGCGATGTGTCTCTCGAAACTAAATGCATCGCATCTCAGCCACTCAAATGGAGCTATTGGTTTCTCGGGTCTTTGGTATTTACTTTTCTTATGTATACTTTACTTAATAAATTTTTTAATTACCTCAATATTTGAATGCCCGTTCAACACGGAGAGATTTAAGTAACAGACAACCCAGCATTTTATCCACAACAAAAGGGTCAATCAAGACCAAATTCATGCACAAGATGTATTGCAAATTATTTCTCCTAAGCTGTGTAAAAGTTCCATTGTTGAAGTGTTCAGAAACTTTTCCAACCTGTCAGGAGAAGAAAAAGCAAGTGCAGAGGTTCGCAGGACAACAACAAATCACTAATTTTAAAGTGCATGGAACGCTAAAAATATTTATGATTTCTGACTATATCAAAGTATACGATGATTGGTTACACGCTTATTTATTTTTTAAAACTTATATTCAAGCCAAATCACATTGAACCTCTCGAATTCTAATAATTTCAAGTGCAACAAATAGAAATTTCTTGACGGAAAAGATATTAGTACATAGTGAAATGTTTCACTTTTTCAAAAGCGTTTCAATTTCATTCTTGAATATAATAGTACTTGTTAACATGATTTTTAGTAGGATTTTATTGAATTTATTGTTGCACAAATTACAACGAACTTCCGATTAGACCATTTTTACTGCACGTGGATGACTTGACTGGAGAAAGAGGTCCCCTATATTATTATTGTGCACCTGTTGTGAACACTTCAAAGCCGCCAATCAGATGAAGGTTTGAGGACCAGATTGCGAAGATCACCTAGTGTACTGGTCCATCTTCCTGAAGAGGCATGCGGCCTTCGCCAGGAACTGTTTGCGGTAGTTTAATAAGTCCACAAAAATCGTTCATGGCATGAATTGATGCTTCAGTTGAAGTGGAGAGAAGTGAAAGAAAGATTAGAATTGAAGAAAAACTTCACGCAGCATTGTTCAAAGAAATTAAGGAGAGGTATAGTGATATACGACACAGATTAACAAGTAATCATATATGTCACATTGGCATCAGAAAAGGGGATTAACAGATCAAATACACATGCTGGATAGTCTGAAATTTCGACACGTATGTTCACAAGATCTAAGAATGATTTGCATAAGTTTCCACATACTCGTAAATCAAGTTATCACTCGGCGTCCAAGTTAACATATGACATAAATTCAGTTCGAAATAATCTTAACTTTTTGTCATAGCATGATATAAATTTGTGTGTGTCCCGCTAAGGCAAGAAAAACTTACCGCGTAGTTTGCGATGGTAGTGCCACATTTATACACAGCGAAGTTGTATATATCAACCTTGCACTTAGGGTCGCTGGTGGCGTAAGTCTTGTACTCCGCTAAGATCTTTGTGTTTTTGATTGAGCCATCATTAGCGTTCAACTATAAATGAATGAATGAGTGTCATATTCACATTTACAATGGTATAATTTCATAGTATAATTTAATAGTAATAGTAATTTATTTTCATAGTATAATATAATAACTAATGAAATTATTTGAAATCGACATCTCTGATGGTGCACTATATAATTCCCGCATTGGTCACATGTTGAGCTGTCACGTTCAATACCACATATAGTGTCAGCTAATATTCAAAGACATATGATGAAAAGGCACCTTAGCAATATTTCCACACTTACGTAACCAAGTTCTTTCGCTGCACATTTCATGAAGGGAGCTGCCCGAATTTCGCAAGTGATATCGCCGGTAAAGTAATCGTAGTGCGCGCATAGTTTACCTGCAGAATAGGTAAATTGCTTAGTGTTTTATATTCCTCGTGAATTTACCATGGTTGCACTCACTATTTCAAGATACGTCTCTAGATAATACCAATAATTATTAAGAAAAAGTCTACAACTGAGTTTTGGAAACAAAAATTAATATCAACAGGGTGAATTGCCCATACAGTAGGCCAATGATAGAAAATTTCAGATCAACCAATTGATGGTAATAAATCATGTAATATCTAACCTGAGTTTTTAATCAAGGCGGCACGTCCCGCTGGATCCGACGCGCAGAAATGGAAGGCAGAATTCAGGGCAGTGTAGTTCAAGTTGTTTTTGATGGCCGTTGTACACGCATTTTCACTGGGGTGGAAAAAGGAATAGGAATGACTACACCAAGTGAATAACATCAAAAGATGAACATTTCTCATTGTAGTCAGGAAAATAAATAATATCCATACCTCTAAATGCTACTTCTTCGCAACTTTTCCAGCACTGATTTGTAGTTGCTGTACAAAATTAGAGCACTGAGCAATATAATCTAATAATTTAGGATAATGGTGAACAGGATGGGAAAGCACAGGGTACGAATGCAATTGCTGAGTTCACTTACCCTTCTACACCGGAGTAGGCAAAGGTTGCCGTGAGAAGAAGGACAAGACAGACAGGTTTCATCATGGTGGTAGTCGTGAAGGCTTAAGTGATAAGAGGCTAAGGCAAAACGCGTCGTGAACGAAAGGCTGTTAGATGACCTGTGACTTTGTGCGATACATGGTCTGACTTTATAGCTTTATGGTATTATTGAAACAGGTGGTGTTGTTTGTCCATCGCGTGCCTACAGCTGTCAGTCAGAGACCATTTGTCACCACAGCTAGTGGCATCTAGCTCCACAATCAAATGTTGAAATTTAGATTCAACTGTTTGTTAGGAAAGTTTAAACTTTCTGGTTGAAAAATTATAAAATAAAGTGGAAATATAAGCGAAGACAGAATTATGTTTAATTTTTCTCATTTTTTCCATGGAAAGTTATTTGCTATAAGAACCTCAATTTGTGTTATAACAGTTATTGTGTTATAACACAATAACTGTGTTATAACACAACTATATTGTGTTATGTTATTTTCATCACACGTGTACGTATTTCTGATATGAATAGCATATCCTCGGTGCTCAGCGTTGGTTCAGGTGACGTGGCGTGAGCTGCTCCACAGTGGCGCTGAGCTCCGCGCTGAGCGTTGGTTCAGGTGAAGTGGCGAGGCCGTAAACAAATGCTCTATGATTGCAAAGACGTCAGAGCTGATAATGTGACTAATGACTTTGAATCGCTAATGGTCACAGTCTGAGTGTGTTCAGCTGAACTTGCACCTCGACATGATCAGTTAAATTGTACAGGTGTCAGAGGGTTGTGTCAGCGTTATTTTTACAATTCATGAGCTGCCTCATGGCTTGATTTCACATTACAGTAAACATTCTAGCATGTGACATTCTGGGTTGCATGCTAGTTCAATCGTTACAATCCATTGCCTGTCTCCATATTCGTATCCACATTACAATATACATTCTAGCTACAAAACTCGGAGATGCACGGAATTAATGAGTGCCAAAACTGCGTGCGTATCAAATGGGTATTAGAATACCATAACAGGCTGCGTATCGGGCAAAAAGCTTTCGTTTTGGGTCCCTGCTATGCTTTTCCTGCGTGTCTCCTGTTAAATACAAGCACTGCTGACTGATGAGCACAGTCCCCTTATCTTTAATACAATTCCATCGAGTGGAGTCGCGTCATCTTCGGATTTGAGATTACCAAGGAAGAAATTGAAATTCCCGCACCCCGAGGTGTCAGCAAAACAAGGAAATTATACATAATTGAGCCCTTCAGAGTTGACGGAGAAGACAGAAATTTGTTTTTATACCATCATGTTTAATGATAAGCTGCTTCATTTACTTTCGTATCTGTGTTCCATCGTGTGATTACGCAAAGTCGCGAGAACAATTGTTAATCATTGACCATGAAAAATTTTTTATGTTGTAAAAGCAATATTTTTTTACACTTCCTCTACTAACTACGCCATTTTCTGCTTGAGAGTGCAATGCAATTACTGTGTAAATAGGATCAAGTGAAACGATTTTAACTATTAATAAAATGCAGGTGCATCTTATTCGTTCACCATGATTATTCTTTGTTGAACGTCAAAATGTATTAACATGAGAGTGCCTCTACAGTCAATGCTACTAACTTCGAACAACACTTATATCGCCTGCCTTCGAAAGAAACGATCTATTTTGTTTAGAAACCTGGGCCACAAATTTCTAACGCGACCGGAAAAGCATCTTGGCTGTCATATGTAGCAATCGAGACCTAAAAACTGTAACTCCGACCATTATTATACGGTTCTTATGGACGAGCCGGTGATTTAAGTGGAGTAGCTGCTGCAGAGTTGCGAGTTATGTGTCATTAACGGTAAGGTCATCCGATACTAACTCACTGTCACATTCGCTGTATTGACGGTAACTTGCCTCACCATTTTATGTAATTCTTGACAGTTAGCCACCAATGACTCCATCAAAATTCTCATCCACTGGCGAAATTACTCCTGGTCCTCCTCTCACATCAGCAGCACCAGGACAAGCTTAAAGGTTTCGTATATAAAACGTGTATATGTCGTTACGAAATGCGGAATTGCCGATTATATGGAATCGGCAGCCAATTTGGCGAATCTGTATAAGCAGCATTTCGTTGCTGATTCATAAAATCGGACGTTAGAGTTAGAGTTAGGACTAGAGTTAGAAAAGGTTAGGTCAAGTTTGGTAAAGTTCCTCTACATTTAAATATTTAAAAAAACTTGCCTGACTGACCTAACCCCAGATTCCTATAGTATAGAAATACTGATTCTGCAGATTTGGCAAACTGGCTGCCGATTCTATAGAATCGGCAATTTTGCGATTTCAGCACAACATATATACACAAGTACACAAGCAACGGCAGCGCCACTCCAGTTCCGCTTTCGCGGCTCTGTCTTGCCAAAGCGCGGTCGAACCGGACAAGATTGTTACTGTTCCGGGCTTTAGGGTACGTACACAGCGGAAGCAGGTTTGCCCGCGCGGGCAACCTGCTCCAACCGGCCACAAGAATGAACATAGGATAATAATGTGAGTGTTCACAGTGGAAACCTGTACGAATAGGCTTCTGCCGACAACCTGCTTATACCTATTTACCGGAATGTACTGCACATTCTTATCTGCTCAACCTGCTTGGCATATG